TTTAAGGATGAATTAAAAAGTAAAATAATAACAGGGTTTATAGCCCTTCGTCCTAAATGCTATGCTTACTCAGTTTATGGTGATGATAAAAAAATATAAGAAATGTAAGGGCATAGCAAAAGGCACAGTAAGACGTCAAATGAAATATGAAGAGTTTGAGACGGTTTTAAAAACTAATGAGGTTATACATAAGTCATTTAATAGTATTAGAAGTAAAAACCACAGAATTTTTAGTATAACAACTAAAAAAATTGCTCTTAGTAGTTATGAAAACAAAAAATATTGGATAGATAGTATAAACTCACTTGCTTACGGCCATTATAAAATAGATTCTTTGAAAACGACTTAAAGAAATATTGACTTAAAATATTAAGAGGAAAAATGACACTGTTTAATTATAGTAAGTGTGAATGTTGTAATAATAAAAAGAATGATATTAATTTTACATTGTATAACTTATTACCTGCTAATCTGTGTAATGAAATAAGTGAATATGATGTATATTGTAATCAATGCTGTATAACAAGAGACCTTGAAAAGTTGTTTGTTGAAGAATATAAGGATAAGGGATATACAAAGTTTCAATTAAAATTGAAATTCTTTATGAGATATCAAAAACGATTTCCTGTATGGTTTTACCGTAAAATTGATAGAGAGTCATTTGAAAAAGAAATTGATGAGTTTTTTAATAATAAAGATTTAATTAAAAGGTTTGGAGGAGAACTAAGCATTAAACCATATAAATCATTTGCTAAAGAATTTCGTGATTTGTTTGAAGAGATTGATTGGCATTTATTAAGCAAAGATAAAATAAACAAGGTCTTGAATGAATTTAGAATAACTAAATATCATGTATGGTATTACTACAACACTAAATATAAAGTATGTCTATTGCTGTATTTATTCTTTTGGGAATATATTTATTCAATAATAGGAAAAGACAATATCAAATATATAGACATTGGTGATATTGATAAATATGTAGATTACATATTTGAAGACATATTGCCTGACTGTTATCTTAAATCCTTAATTCTTAATTGAAATATAATTATAACATGTAAAATATTATATGCTATAATTATACTATACTTATGGTTAGTTTCTTAATTTTTATTAATGCCTTAAAAATGACTTAAAGAAATAGTGCCTTAATATAATAAGAGGAAAATGAACGGTGATAAAATCAATAATTATATCAATAAAAAATGCTATGATTGTTGTCACTTCAAAAAAGAAAATATGGAATTGTATAAATTAAATTTACCTAATAAAATATTGAATAATATTATTAATTATTCAATGGATGAAGAAGATGAATGTAAAATTTGTCAGGAATGGAGAGATAATCAAGTTTTAATCAAATGTCTGTTGAGAATAAAAGGGAGACATAATAGAAATGTAGAAGATGAGATTTTAATATTTCTAACTGTAAATAAAATACCGCCTTACGATTATATTAAACAGTTTCTTAAAATCCCTAAGAAAAAATATGGTATGATTGATGATATATTAAGGATGTTGTGTTATAGTCAAGAGAAAGGAGAAGATGTTAAAGAAAATATCAAATTATTTATTGAAAGTAAAAATTTAATGTTCAAAATACATTGAGAGATATTAATATTATTTTTAAAATGATGTATGAAAGAAGTAAGACAAATCAATTAAATTATTATCCTGTACTGAAATTATAATCATACTATGATTATCACATGTAAAATATTATATGTTATAATTGTAATATATTTATCGTTTGTAAAGATTGAATTATTATATTTTCCTAATTTGCTTATCTCTTTCAAAGTGCGTTGTTTAGACTTGGTATGCTTCTTCAATTTTTTCGTGCTTTGGCTGTTTGTTTTTGTTTTGTTTGATACTCTTGTGATATTTTTTGTTGGTATGTTGCTTTGATTTTTGTTGATGTGTGCTTTTGAGTTTGGGTTCTTTGATGATTTAGAGTGTTGCTGTTTTGTTGGTATGCTTGTTTGAATTATTTAATGTTGTATGCTGTGATTAAATATTTTTGTTGCTGGTTGTGATTATTTATTTTGTTTGCTTGTTGTTCTGGATTTTGTTTTCTGTTTGTTGTGTTGCTGTTGGAGAAAAAATAGTAGAAAGAATAATTCTTTGAATTCTCCTTTTACTATTTTTGGGGGAGAGGGGGGGGGGGAGGGGAGGGGGGGGGAGATCCAGAAATCCAGAGATCCAGAAATCCAGAAATCCAGAAATCCAGAAATCCAGCCGACGTAGAAACCAGCCCCAAGGGCCGCCCCAAGGTTATATATATATATATCTACATAATCATTTTCACATTAAACTTATAGAAACCATATCAACAAAAGCAACACAGAACACACCGCCCCCATGCCGAAAGCATGGTCCATTCTGGACCAGGCATGGGGTCGGCGGATTTTTCCAAAAGGACACCTATGTACATCAAGCCCCCAGTTTCTCCCGCCCTGGTCGTTTTTTGTTTTCTCCTCTCTCAGGCGGATTCCAGCAGCAAGACGAGCCGGTTCCTTGTGCAGTGCAGCTTCCTGGAGATCTACAACGAGGCGAGATGAGGATCCCTGGCTCCGTGGGGGCTCCGTAGAAGCCAGGAGGCGAAGCACGCGAAAGCGCACGAGTGTGTGTGTGTGTGTGACCCGCACGTTTGTTGTTGTGACGCATGCTTTGTGAAAGGCCAGAAGTGTTTGATCCACGGAAATTCCCATTAAATCACCCCCACCCTAGCAAAGTTGAATCCATTTGCAGCCCGAACTACCATTGACGGGTACGAAATACCTCCCAACTTTAGGTGACAAGACTCAGGCAACCCCTATGTAGTGGATTGGATTTGCGATTTGGATTTGAAGGGGTCCCTGGTTCTTGTGTTGGGGCAAATGGGTTTCCCCAAAGCGACTCGGCTTGGAGCCAAGTAGGCGGAAGCTGATGAAAAAATCAGGTGATCTACGACCTCCTGGCGCCCAGAGGCGGGCTTTGAAGGGACGTTCCGGTCTATCTTGACTAGGTCCCCCAGGGCCCGTTGGCCGTTTCTTTTTTTGGTTGGGAGGGCAAACCCCCGACTGAACAAAATCCTACAGAAAAAAGTTGGTACCCAAACTTCTAGCCTCTCTACTGGACCTAGTTGAGTCACGTCCTCCAGTAGCCGATTCGGGTTGGGTTGGATCGTCCCAGGCATGCGGATCTCCAAGCCTTTTCAATTCGTGATTTGCAGCTGGTTCTGGGTCCTTTTTATGCTGGGCGTTGGTTCTGACTCCCTGAGAAAGGAGGTTCTCCATGAAGAGTTGGTGAGTATAGGATGTGCAAGGCGCCTCGGGGCTCCGAGAAATGAAAAGAAAGTGTTAGGAAAGCGCTTGGTTGATGGCTTCCCAAAGCTTAGAGACACACCTTTGGAAGCCGGCCCCAGAAATTGCCAAGCCGTGCCCTGATGGACTGTGGCCCCTGTGGGTTCAATGCACACACTCTGACCCAGGCAGGTTGCACTGTGCTCATTTTTGGTAAGGATCCTGTTGCTGGATTCAGGGTTCCCTTTGCCTCCCTTTACACATGATCCCACCAAAAGGATGAGGGGGAGGGGGGGTGGGGGGTCCCCCACTTCCATCTATGGCGCTCATCTTCCGGAGGGCAACCCCCCGAAATCAACCTTGCTGACCAAAAAACAAAACGATTCCAATCGACGCGTGTTTCTGCCTTTGGATTGCGACAAAACGCGGTAAATCGACAATGGTCTGAGCCGTCCAACTTTGTTGGTTGTTTGCGTACCCCGCGGCTTGGAGACAAACCATTAAAAATCCAGCAGCTCGAGGTAACTTTGAGACTACAAGAATTCCATCCCACACTCCATGAAAGATTATACTGAAAAGGGCACCTTTATCGGAGCCTGGATCCCAGGTGAGTTTTAATCCCCCCCCGGAGATTTTGCTCTGATTTGTGCCAGGGTATTTTCCCTTGGTTTCAAAGAGAATCAATTTCACTAATGGAAATAGGTTGTAGGGGTTGAAAGACCAAAATGAAGCAAACAACCAGTTCGGGAGCCTTTGCCATCCACTCGATCGGACGTGAGAGGAGATAAGGGCAAAGGCCTGGAGGTCCGAGAGCAGAAGGCTGGGGCAGCAGAAGCAGAAGGCATCTGTTTGCTTGGCGCCTGGTTTATGGGTCTTCCATTTGCTGAAGCATCTCTGTTTTCCAAATTTTTGGTTTCAAAGGAATCGGTTTCATTACTGGACAAATATGTTCTAATGTTTTCCACTGAGATGGTTCGGCTGCAACTCCGCAAGAGTCAAGAGGGGTTGCCCGCTTTTTTGGCCAGTCGTGTCTTAAACTTCGGAGCCCAAAAATGGTATGTTTGACCTGTCGGCGTCACGTTGAAACCAACCAAAAAGGGGCTCTCTCCCCCAACAAGATGACGAACAAACCATTATCTGACTGAAGACCCCGGTGGGTATGGTGGGCTTGCAAGGGAGGTTCAGGGGTCTAAACTTTCCCACTCCGATGTTCAAAGAGATGGCCCCAGAGCCAGGAGACGCTGACAGGACCTGCCTCAATTTTGGATCTCTTTTGGTTTTTGAGCTTGGTTGGATTCATCCAAGATGCTGTCACTTTCAAGCTTTTTTTTGTGGTTTGGCCTTGACTGGATCAATTGCAAGTTCTCTCTCAAATAGAACGCCTTCCAAACAATGACAAGAAGCAGGACGAGCCATCCGAACCGGTCTCAAAGTCGCGGGTCGCCCTTTGGATAGCCAAAGAACCCCGCCCCAGGCTCCAAATTCCCTCATTCAAGCGCAAGCAAACGAAACCACCCATTTTGGGGGTGTTGGTTCCCGCCGGACAAGCCCACCTGACCCATAAAAAATGCGTTTGCCACCCAAAATGATGGGCAGCAGTTCCAAAATAGGTCCATGACCCCATTATTGTGGGTAATTAATTACCCCATTTTTTTAAGATTTCTTGGAGGCTCCAGGCAGTTTGTTGTGCCTGCGCCGAAGGCATAGCCCCGCAGTCTCGGCTCCAAGGGCAGGCGCCCATCGGCGCGACACTCGGCCGGCCGCAGCGAAGTCGGCGGCCGAGTGAAGGCGGCTGAAGGCGGCAGGCGGCTGAAGGCGGCCGTGCCGTGGAGTTTCCGCTCGGCCGCGACGGGAGATGTCTGATGAGTTGGGTACGTGTCAAAATTAAGCCGCAGGGGTTCGACCATGCTTCCATTTACCAGGGTTCGATTTGGGGCTCTTATTTTTGACCCGCTGCCGTTTGGGTATGTGCCAATGAAACTACAGTGGGACCATGTTTCCATTTACCGGGCCAACCCACTGTGGGTGCATATTAGGGTACCTAGAAATGGGACATGGGTCAAAATGAGTCACCACCAGGATATGGACCGCAGGCTTTAGTTCTTTCCATCCTGGGCAACCCGTTTCGGGTACCTATTCTTGACCAGCCATTTGAGCAGCGCCCAAACCAAGCCTTCCATCTAAGCTGGACCCTGACTGGGGCCCTGGAAGAGTTGTCTCTAAGGGAACCTTTGCTGGGTTCCCGTGTTACTAGAGTAGAACTGCTCTTAGGGGGCAAACAGGATGCCAGCCATGTTGCGGGGGGTCTGGCCCCCCGAGTTTGAGAGAAACCCAAGGTGGCCAAGCGAACTATTTGGAGCGGCCTCATTTGGTACCCAGACAGGCGAAACTCTTCCAAGAGGCCTTTTTTTTTTCTCCATGAGCCCGGTACCACGAAATATTTAACGAGGCTCGTAGGGACCTGGAGGTGCCCGATAGCCGGGTTCCTGGAAGCAAGGAAACTGACATAAGATCCACTCGGCTCCCGACAACTTGCCCCAAGTGAATCCACGGCCATAAGAAAGGGTAAGCACACCATCCCAATGCCCCAGAAATACAGGGATCGAATTGAATGTTTCAAAGTCGGTTGCAGGATGGTGTTTGTTGGGCTCCTGGGAATGGGGGTTTCCCGCTGGTCTCTGCTGGGAACAAGCATGTTAGTCCTCTGAAAGGGAGACGATGGGGTCTCCACTTAGAACCCTCCTAAAGGTTGTACTTCCTGTTGGTGTCCATTTTTTGCCAGCCAGAAAGAGGCGCCCCCCCGTGCTCTGGACACATAGAGGTTATTTTGCAGGCAAACTCTCTTACCACCCAATACCTTAAAGAGGGTGGCTGCAAGAGAATCCTCGAACCCTTGACACCAGGGCTGTGGGAAATGACCACTTCTGTGATACAACAATCAGGGCTTCCCAAAGACTAACCCGGACACATGTCCTTGTATCACAGAAGCGGGGTAAACTCCCTTGATCCCACAACCCTGCTCAACACCCAATGCAAGAGAAATCCCTGTCCACCATCCCCGTCCACCCCTCCCCCCTTCTCCCCTCCCCCCCCCAGGAAAGCGGTGCCGCTTCAGGATGTCCAGCGAGACGCTGAGCAACCTAAAGCGCCAAAGTTCACGGGTGGAGACCCTAGGCGGGGGGGTCAACCGCGGGCCGAAGCCTTGGGGGGGTCAAAGTCCAGTCTATGGGGCTTCAAGCTGTGTAAGTAGGCTCTTTTTCATGGATTTTTGCCGGGACGAACCCCAGGTTGGTGACCAACTCTCTATCCTACCATTCTCCGTTCCCTTTACCTGCAAATGATGGGTGGAATGGTTAGAATGGTGGAGACAAGAGATGGTTCTTAGGGCTTCAAACTGTGTACCCTGCCCACGTTGCCACGGAACCCACCAGAGAAATGGTCCCTTTTGAAGAAAACCAGACTTCCAGGACCCCTCAGTCAGGTTCCATGTTAGCGAGTGGCAGGGAAGTAGGCTTTAACCATGGATTTGCACGGGCACCGGTCCAGTTGGCCCAATTGGCGTTGGCGCTACTTAATTAGGCTCCAATGTTTTTGTTCCTTCTTTTTTTTCCAGGAACAGATGCATGTGGATGCAGTGAAAGGGCATGTCCCCAGTCACCATGGCTACCACCCAGTTACCTTGGTCAAATATATCCAAGTCGTCGCGGTGCCTTAGGGCTATGGTTTGATTGGTTCGCGTGGCTTCTGTCCTTTGGACAATTCAGGCTCTTGGGCTTTCTCTGCCCGGCCTGAATCTTGAAGGGGCATGTCTTGAAATAGGGATCAGACCCCAAAAAGGGCGCAAGGGTTTCCCTTTTGGCGTCCCTTTAAAACCACGGTCCAAAGTTTTGGTGTATTTTTTGGCAGCTCAAGTTGCCAGTTCGGTGATATTGGCGAAGGGCGGGGTCTTTGAGCTCAGTGTCACGTGGAGGCACCCCGTCTTGGAATTCATGAAAGCGAAGCAAAACCAGTGCAACCGCTTATATAGGCGAGCGCAATAGTTTGGAGCATTCTGGGGTTGCCGGTTGCCTCACATAGATAGTTGGGCATGCGTGGTCCCAGCGACTGTGTTCAATTGGTAGGCAGCAGAAAGTGGTCATGACTTGAGATTTCAAGCTTCCATTCGACTTTAACCCTTGAAGCAAAACAGGGCTTGCCTGCGTGCTTTTAGCAACTTGGTTCTTTGACTGACCGTCTGCCAACTCGCAGAAAAGCAAGACCGGGGCGGGCATACACTGTTGTGGGGGAACCAGGCCATGTTTTCATGCGAGGGAAGTCACGTAAGAGGTGCCTCTAGGTTATTCTGGAGGTGCCTCTAGGTTATTCTGATATGCCAGTTCAGCTGAAGGCACTTCTCCGGCTATGGGGTTGGGTTGGATGATCAATGGATGGGAGGCGCCTCGCTGAGAGAGTACAACAAGAAGAAGTTCGAGAGAAGCGGGACTTTGGCTTAGTCTCCATACGTTCGTCGCCTGGGCGAAGAAAGGTACCTGGACCCTCAAACTCTCCATAATTTCGGGGCAATATGTTTTTTTTTTTGAGTGGGTCGTTTGAGACATATATAACTACGCAACCCCTATATATATATATATATTGTGTGTAATCCGTTCCCCCTATTAATAAAGGTCTCCCTAATAATAAATATTTGTTTCGGAAGTCCCAAATCCGGGAATACTACTTTTAGAATAGCCAATGCTAAACCAATTCTAAAGTAGATATTTTCCTGCCCGTACTCAAATCCAGCCCCATTAGGGGGACCCAGGGGGTACGTTTCCTTTACTACGGCTGTGCTACAAAGTTGCGACTTTCGAGCCAGAGCTCCGGGAGCACGTTTCCTTTACTACGGCTGTCTGACTTTCTGAGCCGCACGAGACGGCTACCGTGGAGGCGTGCCGTGGCTTCAAACGTCTCTCTTTCTCTTTCTCTCTCTCTCTCTCTCTCTCTCTCTCTCTCTCTCTCTCTCTCTCTCTCTCTCTCTCTCTCTCTCTCTCTCTCTCTCTCTCTCTCTCTCTCCCTCAATCCAAAAAGGTCCCTTTGAGTGACCCAAAACCCACAACCAAAAACAACAAAACGTGACCTCAACTCCCGCTATTTAAATTCCTTACTCAGAAATGTGCGTTTGAAGCGATTTTACGGAACGGAACAGGGGGACCACAGTTGCAAACAAGCCTACACAGAACAAGAAGCAAAACCTGCCCTCCAGAACCAGGGGACCCCTAATAATAAAAATTGTTTTGCAGGCCGGGTATTTTTTTTATTAGGGGGGGGGGCGTCGTTTCTTATTAGGGGGAAGGGATGATATACTATGACAGTGGGTCATTCGCGGCCCATTTCAAGGGGCTGCTACCACGCACCCCCCCCATTCTCATTGATGACCTCGGAATAACCCCGTCCTGTTGATCGCGGGGTGCTCTCCAACAGTGATGAGCCCCCGACTGAGACAGCACCCCCCGATTGATCAACGGGCAGCCGGGTTCGCTCACCCGTTCCTTCCCACGCGCGCGCGCCGGCGCGCTGAGGTCGAAGAAGCGGAAGCCGAAGCTCCGAGAACTCGCGGCTCGGCGGAGATTTCAGGTCCGGAGAAGAGCTTCCCTCCAGCAGAGCCCCCGTTCACCCTGGCCTTGTTCGCCCAGGAAAAAAATGCAGGGAAATGCAGGCAGTTTTTTAGGCGACCGGTTTTCCTTAGGTTGTTCGGTGTTTAGGGTTTAGAACGGGGGTTTCCGTTTCGCCCACGAAAAGTTCCTCACTTTTCGTTCCGGGGACCTCAGGACAGCCCAGGAACAATTGAAGGAGAAGATCACTTCGGTGAGCACAAAGTTGAGACTCTGCCAGCATCCCCCACCACTGCTTTTTCCCATCTCCAAAATCCCAAGCGTTGTTTGGTGAATGCTGGTTTGGGGCCAATCTCAGGAACTGAGCAGGTGAAAAGGCACCTGAGTGTTTGCGAAGAAGCTTTAAGCCGAGCTAAAAAACGTCTCGCATCAAGTCACCCGACATGCGCGTGTGCGAGCTTCCGAGGGCTTGTTTGAACATTGGTTTCTTGGTGGCAAGCCTAGCCATCCGGTTCCTTAGCTTTTTAGATCCTTTTAGCTAGTTTAGTGGTAGTTTCCGAATTTCACCCACGAAAAGTGAGAAACCTTTAGAGGGGGATCTGAGGGCAGCCCAGTTTTGTGCTCCGCTTTGCTTGACTTTCTCAGGTCGATCCCTTGAGACTTGCCCCTGGGTTTCTCTTTTTGGGGGGCTGAACTCATCCAGCTGAAACAACGCCACATGCCAGCCGCCTTCCCATGCGTGAGGTCGACGCAGCCCTTGGCCGATGTCGTTGCTTCAAAAAATCCCAGGGAGGCGAGATGGGAAACAAATCTTGCCGAGCACACGAGGGTGAAAGTAGATGGCACAGTCCCTCTATTGGCTTCCAAGTGCTGAAGACCATGTTTCATTCCCCCTTGTTGGTTTTCAAGTAACTACTGGAAATATGTGATCGCTTTGTCCGGGGGCAGAAAAGCAAATGGAAGACTGGGTAAAGGAATGAACGATTAAGCCAGGGAAGCGTGCCATCTACTCAGCTCTAATCGGCTGGGCTCCAAATTGGGATAGTCCGCAGCCAATCACAAGGGGTGCCGTGATGTCATCAATGTACGAAATTGTACATGTCTTGGAACTAAGCATCCGTAGTAAATTCTCGATACTGCGAGTGCATGCGGCTGTGCGAATCTTGTGACTTCGCTCAACGTCTTAAACCCGGCCATTAGACACCCGGGAATTGGTGGTTGGGGGTCTCTTTCCCAGGTTGGTTGAAGGCCCTAAATCGATCGAATTGCAGCCTCTGGGAACTAGGACAAACTGACAACTAGCGGTTTTCCTTTGGTTTCCCTTTCAAGCCAAGCCGTTTTCGGTGTGCCCATCTGCGCCAAAGCAAGCGCCAGGAGACATGGGCGCCGCATCCGCCCCTCGGCAAAGTGGCTCGAATCCTCCGGCTGTTGCTGATTCGATCGAATGAAGCGTTTTTTTCTATGACACCGCTCGGGGAAACGGTCCAACATTATAGGGGACACTTCCATTTCCATTCTTTCCAGGGATCCGGATCTTTCTAGAAAACCTCCGGAAACCCAGGGAAAACGGATCCGGTTTTTGGAAAGAACGATGGCTGAAAAGAATGGAATTGGAACCAAGCCCTAGAAACATGGTCTTGCAAAGGAACAAGGTTTCATGCGAAAATAGTCAAAGATGGGGGGATGGAATCCCTTGGTGTACGGGGGTCCCCTCCACAACGAATTCACATAGGGTAGGCTAGCAATATAAGCCCGAATCTGAACATATTCGGTGTGGTTTTCGTCTTCCCCAAGCACCTCAATTCATGCAAACAATTGCTCCCAGTCGCGTGCCTCCCGGTACCCCTGCGGCACTTGCTTCCCCACTTTGGCTAGGAATAGTGCGAAAGTCCGCTCTCTTAACTCTTTACGTGTTTTTTGACTATGACTCAGTTGGCCCTGTTCTCACCAGGTGGATATGGGTCAAAATCAAACCACCAGGGGACTGCAGGCTTTAGTCCATGTTACCACAAAAAAGGCTTCAATTTTGGGGTTACCCTATTTTTGACCCACAGCCAGGTGACTCTGGCAACAGATGTGGAAGACCTGAAGCAGCACGTGCGACAGCGCTTGAACAAGACCACCTACTCCGTGAAGGCGGGCGGATGCGCTTAGGGATCTCCCGTCCCCCCGTGGCGTGGTGGGGCTCTGCGGTCGGCTACAAAGCTTCCATTTGGTGAAGAATACTTTTTAGTTTTATTTTTAATTCTCCCCTGTTGATTTTAAAGGGAATTTATCACTACTGGAAATATTTGAAATATGGTTATTTTCCCTAGGGAACTTAAGCAAATGGAGGAAAATGATTCCAGGTGCCCGTGGCAAACCCCCAAAGTTTGCGAAGAATCGTCACCCGCAGGGTGTATATGCCTCTGGTTTTGCCTGGTGCGGATTTTGATGGGATGAAGGCCTCTTTTGGAGAGAGCATTCCTTTGTGAGCCAGCTTTTTCGCGCGTCCCAGGTTAGAGCGGATTCAGTGGTTCCTTGGGAATGCAACTCAAATCTGCACGCCTTTGTCCAACCGGACTCAAATCTGCACTTCTTGGACCGCAAAAATGTGGGTCTTGGTGGCTCCCAGCCATCCGGTTCCTTAGCTTTTTGGCCGTTTGGTGTTTAGTCAGAAAACGGGCAGCCCAGGGATATTGGTCCAACTGTGCTATTTTCTCGCCATGAACTTTAAACTTTTTGGGAACACCATTTTGGTGGTAAACATATTTTTAAACTTTTTGTTTGGGCCATCCACTCAGCAAGTGAGGGATATTTGTCTTATTTGTCCACCTGTGTTTTTTTCCCGCGAGGACCTCTACAAGTCAGAAGGATTCTGCCAGTGGATTGCGAGAAGCAACTACTTCGAGAACTTTACGCTCTTCGTGATCGCTGTGGCTTGGGCTGCGAGTCACTGCAGTGCGCAGCTCCAACTTGGAATCATAGGTGTCCTTTTGTTCGGATTTGTTCTCATTGGGCATGGGCAGTAGGTTGAGCGGAGCAGGAATAATATTCGCCAATAGTCCATCGGGTCGTTTGTGGTAAAATATGTCACCAACATGAGACCTCGTCATACTAAGTGGAAAGTGGGAATGATGTGTGTTTCTGGGAACGGGTCCAATCAGCTGAGGTGAACTCCCTGTGGACACTTGGCTGGAATTTTTGGAATCCTGAACGCAGCGTCCGAGTTTGGACAAGCGAGGCTGCTGTCCAAAGCGAATTCAGAACTGCTTGACCTTGCCACTTTACAGTTTCGATCCATCTTGAACCAGGGTCTTTAGGGGTCGAGTAAGTTCTGTTTTTGTGTTTGCATGTTTTTCTCGCTGGAGAGTGATTCTAGGGACACTTCCCCATTCTTTCCAGGGGTCCTTCTTTCCAGAAAACCATCAGAATCTCAGGGGAAACAGCTGGTTTTTGAAAAGAACGATGGTTGAAAAGAATGGGGAATGAACCCCTAGAGTGATGCTACCAGCCATCGCAGGATATGGATCGACACCGACAACAACACAGCGTCCCTTGGAGATCATCGATCGCCGCAAGCTGATGGGCGTCGTTTCGATGAAACTGATGAAATGGGTCAAACCTGTTTATAGCTTCTTTTTTTTTTGCGGGATCTTTAGACTTTAACTTTCTGGGAAATGAAGGTGTTTTCCACTAAACCCCAAAAAGGTTAAACTTTTTGCAGGGGGGTCAACAGCAACCAAGTTTGGGTTCAGTTTCCCTTCCAACTTGCTTGCCTCCCAATAACATGGCACCTGACAGACGGTCCTTCCAAGAAACTGGTCTTCCAGGTACCCTCCTAGGTCCCCAGCAGTGCCCTTTTACCCTTTTTTGGGGGAGGGTTCCCCTACTCAAATACACTGCAGAAAAATAAGGTACCCTGATTCTAACCTCTCTACTGGAGGACCTAGCCTCCCACAGGTGACACGGCAATGTGGGAGGAAGGGTAGCAGGATGTGAACTTTTTGCCTGGGGACCCATACCTCAAACCGGCATTTTGGTTTCCCGCTTTTGGTCCTTTCTTGGTCATGGCACCAAAAGGTGATCGCCTGTTGTTGTTTTAGCGGCCGCACCTTTGATTTGCAACTGGGGGCCCTTTGCATGGCTGTTGTTGGGAAACATTTCACATTTTTGCTTATCTCGGTTTAGTGGTTGAAATCCAACCACTTAACTGGCAAGCATGGCCCTCAGAGAATGCGGTACACAAAAAAGACTGGTAAACTAAAAACAACATCTCCCCTTCCAACGTCCACCACATCTGAGTGATGGGCTTGTCGTTGTTTGTGGGTTCATGCCTCCATAAGAATGAATAGTTTTATGTTTATCCTGGCTTTAAAGTTGGAACCTATCACTCCGTGAAATATTCCAGGGGTCGACGAAAAAAATCCAATGGAAGAAGCTCACATATATATATATATATATATATATATTCTCGAAGGGCTAGCAAAACCCAATGGGTTCGAGCGCTCGGCCCAGCGGCGCGTTGCCTCGCTGCACGAGCTGAAGGCTCCGCCCGCCTCAGGTCGCTGATCACCGAGGCCGCGGTGGAGTTCCAAATCGCCGCCTGGCGGACTCCGAGAGTGGGGGCCGGGGGTGTTGACCCCGGAAGAAGCCTGTCCCATTCTAGGGCGCTCAGCAGTGCCCTTTGACCGTTTCTTTGTTGGGGGAGGGTTCCCCTATTTAAACTAGACCACAGAAAAAAAGGGTACCCTTATTCTAAGCTCGCTACTGGAGGACCTAGCATTAAAAAAGGGGGTGGGGAGCCCTCCAAAAGTGGCATGAATTTGAAAATCAACCAGGTTTTTTTTTTCATTTGGGGTCAACATTAATGGGGGGTGGGGACCCCTCCAAAGTCTGAATCCAAGCACTAAAATGGGGCACTCCCCGATCAAAGTCAACCAGGGGTTATTCATTTGGGGTCAACATTAATGCCCCTAGGTGGCGACTTGTTGGTTGTTTTGGTCGAAAAAATAGATGGCTGGTGGTTGAAAATTGAGGCCATCTATTTGCCCCAAAAGGGCACCTATTGTAATGCCCGCGACCGTTGCGAGAAAATGAGGGGGGGGGGGGTGCATCTTGAAATATTTGGAGTTGGAAAGCCATGTTTTAAGAGTTGGTGTCAAGAGCCTCCTTTCTGATTTGTTACTTCTTTTTTTGTGTTGTTGTTCTGTTCTTGTTTCGTTTGTTTTTGGCCTTTTGGTGATGCACAGTTTGGACACGATCCTATTTGAGACGAGGTTTGGGCCACCTCGCCTGGTAGACGGGTTTCCTTGATTGTTTGTGAGATTGGTCTCTGGTGGCGTTTGGCTCTCTCAACATGCTAAGGTAAGGTGACGCCCAACCTAAACCCAGCGTACACCAAACGTAGCCCCGCCTTAAGCCAACCGGAAGTGTTCCCTACGCCCCATCTTACCCACCCCTCACCTGACGTAGACCAGTAAACCAGCCCGAACAACATGGACGCAGAGGTTGCAAAATCCATCATGTTCTAGTCTTATATGTTTTGTTGTTCTGCGTGTGCTGTGGGTTGGTGTAGGGTGGTGTTTGTTGGTTTCCGAAGCCAGGTTGGCAGCGGATTCAGGCTTTGCTTGCTGGTGGGTTTGGTTTGGGTGTGGACTGTCTGGACTGGGGCCAAAGTTTGTTTGCGAGTCTGGAATTGGTTTAGGGAAGGTTTCGGGCAGAACAGGCATTGCGTCCATTCAGGCGGTTCGCATGCGAGAACAAACGCATTGTCCTTCTCCCCCTCATCGAAAAAGATCTTCAAGGCATATATTCGGGCATTGTCACCCAAGCCCTTCAAGTGAATTGGACCCTGAAGCACGCTCCCACCAATCAACATGGAACCTGGAGGGGGGGGGGCCTGCTTTGGACAATTTTCCTTTTGAAGGGAACACCCTGCCAGATTTCATGTTAATTGGTGGTCAAGGAACGCCTCTTTTTTCATGGCGTTTATGCTTCTACCCAGTGGGCGACGAGCCTTGCGCCGCTACCCCGGCGCATGCCTGGATGCATGTTAGGTCAGCTTCCCACTCTTTGGTGGTTTGGATTGGTGGTTGGGAGGGTGTCGGGGAAGCTGACTAGGACCGTTTCGGTGTCCCATGTTGAGGACGCCATGTTGTGTCCCTTTTTTTTTCCTCCGTGGAAACCAGGAGGACTTGGACATTTGGAGACTAGGGGGTGGTTGTACTCGTAGGTGTTGTCTTCCAAGGTACCGCTTTTGACATCTGCATCATTGAAACCAAAAGGATAGCGACATCCAGCGGCCCCCTTCGGCCGGCCAGCTGAGGCGGAGAACATCTTCTGCGCCTTCTTCACCTTCGAGTGGTTGGTTCGACTGCTGCCTGCCAGCACCCTCCTGCCCCGTCTCCCCCCACCCGTCCCAAATCCCAGGAACGGGCCTGGTTGGGGGAGGGGGTGCTGGTGAAGGTGGTTGGTTTCCTGAAAGGTTTGAAACCTTTGAACTAATGAACATGGGTTTGGGTGGCTGGCCAAAGTGCGACCTGCTTGGAATTCTCCAAAAGGAAGGCAAGAGGGAGGGTGAGTACCCGCCCATCCACCAAGATGGAACCTCCCAGGTGCTGGTTTCGCCGGTTTTTTCCTAAAAGAAAAACCAGTTCCATGACAACAAGGGAGGGAAATCTCAGCTAGAGGGACCCCGGTGGGTTCCATGGAGGGGAGGGACGTTTTTTGCTCCCCTCAACCCCCAACATATGGCTCCTAGGTCCCCCAGGATCGTGCCCTTTTACCGTTTCTTTTTGGGGTTGGGAGGGAAACCCCCTACAAAAATAGCCGTCCTGCAAGAAATGTCGGGTACCCACTTATTGAATTAATTTATGGGTGCAGAGGTAAAAGTGGATCTTGACTCTTTCAAACATGTCTTCTGGTTCGCCCGT